TGGGTGGGTCCAGGCGATCTGTGTGTCAGGAAGAGTCCCCATGCATAGTAGGGCTAGGGACAGGAACCTGAGCTTAATCCACAGGAGGAGGTGGAGAAGGGTCTGGCAGCCCCACCCAAGAGCTGGGTGCAATGGGCAGGTGACTGGGAGAACAGCAGGGAGGCAGAAGGCTGGCATAACACACTGAGGCAGGATGGCCAGGTGGGAGGACAAAGGGCCCCTGGGCATGCCTGGCTCACCCTGATGCCGCCTCTAGGCCACAGATGGGTGTGGGATAGGCCTCGGAGGTGACTTCAATGGGTGTGATCTTCACATGATGCTTTCAGACACAGGAGTCAACCTGAATCTGGTTGAAATTCCTTATGTAAATTTCTTAATCTCTCCCTGCATCCATCCCATATCTGGAAAGCAAGCAAGCACTGTTTCTTCAAGCAAAGAGAGCGTGAAATGAGGAAACCCTGCAATTAACCCTGTGGGGCCCATGCCACAGACTCACCATGCAGTCCCTCACTCGGTGTTACTGTCACCTGTCCTGAAGTCATAAGGCAGAATCCTACCTGATGAGATGGTGCCCTGACACCTCCATGGCCTCCTCCTGGGGTGTCCTCTGAACAGGTAGAGAAAGGCCAAAGACAAGGAGCCACTTACTCAGAACCGGGGGTCTTGTCCAGACTCCAGGGGTGACACTTTACTTTCATCCCCAGGTGAACCTGACATGAGAAAAGTCAGCTATTTTATCCTAGGTTGGCAGGCTGCAGGAGTAATTAATGAATTAGACAACTGTGACAATGAATGGGCCAAAGAAGTTACACCTCCATTTGCAGATAGGAAACTAGAGCAGGAGTCTACAGATGCCCTCGCTGGACAAACCAGGAAACCGTGGACATCCGCCTACATTTTTTCCAACCAAAGCTACTTTGGTTTCCAAAAGGGCTAGTTCCATGGGAACTGGATCTGTTAGAAACATATCTTTCATGCAGGACTGCTCCTTTGCGGTCTCCTGTCTCTTTAAGGCTTGGAGTGGGAGGGGAGGAGGACGGGGGCGGCACTTCTGGGCGAGGCTATTAGAGTTAGGGTTGCGGGTGGAATGCTTCTTCCTCTCCGGTTATCTACTCCGCGGATCTGCGC